CCAGTTAGGAGCAAACAACTTTTCAGAAGAAACACTATGACAAAAGGGGAGAGTAAATGGAATCCCGTCTTTCTTCAGATGAAAACTATTTATCTTATTAGACTCTTTCCACTAAGCCAAGCCTTATACAGGTGAGGCCAAGTGAAAAAGTGGGGGCACATATAGGAAACCAGAGAGACATCTTCTAAAAAATAGTTTTGTCTTTATTTATAGGTAAAGTGTGGTGATTAAGTCCCTTGTATTTAAAGTCAGATTACCATGGTTCAAACTTTGCTTAGCAGTGGCGTGGCCACAGGTAAGATCATTCGCTTATTCACTTATTTAGAACACATTCTTTGTGTGAGTCAGTAGGGGGTTGTGTCACAACTATGAACAAGGCCAACCAGGTCCTTGCCCTCCTGGAGCTTACATTCTATTGAGAGAAAACAAGACAGACAAGTAAATAAATACACTTATAAATAAGATAATTTTAGATCAAGATGAAAGAAGACAATCAGACAAGGTAAGGGAGTAGAGAATCATGGGGGAAGGACAGCAGCTTCTTTGAGATTGATGTGTACGACGAGGAGGTGACTTAAAGGGAGTGAGGGTGACTGGTCAGAAGGGACAGCGTTGCAGGCAGAGGGAAGAACAAGCACAAAGGATGCATGTGGATGACGCTGTCCTGAAGTCCAGGTTAACTTGTTTTGATTTTATCTGATAAACTCTGGGGAGCCTCTGAAGGGCTTTCAGCAGAGATGTGACGTGACCTGAGCAGCATCAGGGAGAGACAGCCCTCATGCCCTCATTCACTCCTTCAGGGATAACAAGCTCTTTCCAGAGAGAAGGGAATTCTCAGGGCACTGCCCAATACAAGGTAAGAATTCAAGGTGAATTGCTGAGTATGGATGCTGTCTTTCTTGAGGGCGGTGGGGCAAGGGCAGAGACGTCAAAGCCAGCCAGTTAATGAAATAAGAACAAATCTTTGACAGCTCCATTGAGCTGGGCTTGAATCAGGCATTCCTGGTGTGGCTGAATCTGGTTATGTGCACGTCTGGTGTTCAGTGGAGTGAAATCAGAAGCTGTCAGGATTTGCAACTCCTAGAACAGCTTGGCTTTATCAAAATCAGGACCTCTTTGAACTTTCCCTTTTCTCCACAACGCAGATAATAATAGGATCTATCTCACAAAGTAGTGAGGATGAAACAAGGCAATGAATGTAAAGAGTTTAGACAGGGCTGGCATCTGGCACATAGAGCTCAGTAAGTGTTGCCAGCAATCATTGTGATTGTTTATTACTGATTATTATCTCAGCACATACCTGCCTCATCTTTGTTGAATTCCATCATATAGGCATAGCCGGTGATCCTATAATTGCCACATTTCTCTCCTCTTCCCAGCCCTTACCCCTACTCTCCTCAGGCTCCTAGTTTTTCTCCAGATTTCACCTGGGGACCCAGGGAGAGACATTTACAGAGCAGAAATCATCACAGTAGCTGCCATTCATCAAGCTATCTCCATGGGCAGAGCTGGACCAAGGTCTTTTATACATTATCTCAATTATGAGAACAATCCTAATATGTTTGTTTCCTATGTCCACTGTAGAGGTGAGAAAATTGAGGCTCAAAAGGGTAAGTGACCACTACAGGGTCACTCAGTCAGCAAGAGGCAGAGCTGGGATTCAGACTCACATCCATCTGACCCTCATGTTCCCTAACATGAAACAAAATTAAAGCATCCATTTAGTGCCCCCCAAGGCACCACTGACTATGAAATGGTCATAGTCAACATAACATATAACACATAACACATAAGTGTTACATGAGGGAAGGACACCCTATTCAACAAACGGTACTGGGATAATTGGCATATAACACATAAGTAAGTTAGGAGGGCATAGTGAGTAATCAGACTCAGTGTAAGGAGAACTTGAGAGTCTCAAAGAGCCCCCTGGAGTCAACCCAGAATCCAAAAATGTCCTATAATTTCAAGCGAGCCTTTTCCCCCCACAGGCCAGTGGCAGCACAAAGTGATAGTATTACTTTGACTGTGGCCATGTGGTGGTGAGGAAGCCCCTGACCCCTTTCCGGCCTCTTTGTCTTCTTTAGGGCTCCATCTGTGGCCCTGCTCACACAGCCCTGCTGGTCTTGACTCTGAGGCGAAGGAGTAAACATCTTGGGGCTCTTTATTAGTTTATTTCAGAAGATGGAGCCTGTTTGCCCCTGGGGCCCATCCCTCTTTTATGGCCTCCAGCCTTTCTTGACAAATTCTAGTGACTGGAGAGAAAACCGCTTTCTACAGCAGATCATTAAAACACCACCATAAACCCAGGGCCATAAAATATTATTTGCTGGGCATAAAAGGGGGGTAGATTTTCCCAGAATGACAACCCAGGTCCTGCTTTCTCCTGCTGGGAAAGGCGGCACAGGGATGCAGTCGTTCATAAATTCCTTATCTTGCACTCCGCTTTGTGAATAATCCGCTTGGGAGAGCAGCCAAAAATATTGATTTATTTGTTCCACAGATTCAAAAGCATTTTTAATGAGTAGAGCGTGGTGATGCCTTGCCAGTATGTCTTCGGATGACTCAATCTGAGGCACACACCCAAATGCACACACGGTTTGCAAGGGGAAACATGAAGTTCCACAAACTGGAGGTCTGTCGAACACGAACCTTCACAGATGGAAAGGCATTGATATCTCTCCTTCCAACTGTCTGCTCATTTCCCAGCCAAACCAATCAATACCATAAAGGGACTGGTGCTTACAACTGAGCCTGGCTTTCTAAGGTAGTCCCCACCCCTACCCACTATTGAAGGGTCAAAAGGGATTTCAAGTTGGTTCTCCTTAACACCTTCCTCTGAAATAATTCTTTCATCCATTCGCCCATTCATTTGGTTGTTACTACGAAGCACCTACTAAGTGTCAGGCACTGTTCTGAGGACTGGGGTTCCAGCCATGGAAAACGCAGATGAGGTCCTGCTGACATGAAGCTTGTTGCTTCTGGGGTATAATCTCAGCACACTCATTATTAATATTAGCAGATAAAACTCACAACTCGTTATCTGAAGTCCTTGGGACTAGACGGTTTTGTTGGAAACTTTGGGAAAATAAAATTGCACGTTGATATTAATTTGCAAGCAGCCCAGTGAGGTCTGGGGAAATACCCAGTAATCAAATGCATTCATATTTATTCAGTGAAGAGTATTCCTAGCAAGTGGAATAAATCAAGACTATGTCTTGTCATGTGAGGTCCGGTTTTGCCACCACAGGAGTTTGGAAACCTCTGTTTTCAGAGCTGCTTTTTTTCTAGAAGAGCAGGCATTGAGTGCCAGGTAAGTGCCTGACCCATGCTAGGAGCATTCCTAGACATCATGTTTCATTCTCACCACTCCCCTGATTTTCAAGCTCATCTCATTTCATTCTCAATGCATTTCTACAAGGTAGATCATGAAATTTCTGTTTGCTGCTGTTGTTGTGTGTAAGAGGGTTCTGAAGTGCTGGCTGAGAGGCTAGACAAGGTGTGACAGCTGGGAAGTGGCAGGGCAGGGACTGGAACTCTAGATTCCACAGCCGGCACTCTTAACCACTAACCAATACCGACTTCCACTAGAGGAAAGACTGCAGAACAGGAAATAGCACTGTTTGGGCTGTGTCTATACAAGCAAAGGCAATTGGAGAGAAGCAGGTGATTATCCAGATAACTCAGAAAATAGCCATTTAAAAAAAAAAAAAGGGTTTGTGGTTGGGTAGCCAATGTTTCTACATTGGCTGTGTGTGTGGAGGAAATTCCCAGGTTAACGGCCCTGTTCTTCATGGAATAGGATCCTCTACACGAACTGTCTTGGACTCTGGGACACTGGGACGCTAGTTTCTCCGTTCTTCACGAGCGCCATTTGGCAGCCCCTTTCATAGTCAGCTCATATCCTGCCTCTTCTCAGAGCTGCTGCACGTAAGGTGGGTCCCGGAGATCCATGCCCGCGGGGAGGGGCTGGGGTGTCTGCCCAGGAGGCACGTGCTCTCCCGCAGCCAGGGAATCTCAGTCTGCGGCTACTGGGCAGAACAGCAGGGGAGAGGGGGAAGGGCGGAGGGACGCAGCCCAGGGGCGATTTGCCGGGCGGAGACCCTCTTTTTCAGACACCTTCCTCCTGTGGGCAGATCTCAGGTTAGATTCGAAGACTGTAAAATGCCCACGGGTCGGGAAGTGGTCAAGGCTTATAGAGGAGGTTAGAGGAATGGAGACTCAGGAGGTAAAGGGAGGTGTCCCAAGGGGAGTTTTGAGAACCTTGGATTCCCCCTCCTTAAGGCCGCACACGCCTTGGGGGAAAGAAAGCAAGTGGGTGGCGGGGGAGGGTGCTAAGCAGGAGCATCTGTCTCTGGCACTTGGTGAGATGTTCATACTGCCATCTTTGCGCGCCAGGAAGGAGGCCAGGGCTGGGGAAGGGTTCAGTCGGCTAGGACAATTAAGGAATGGGAAGGGGCTATGGAGGGTGGAACGGCATCGCTGGAGCCTGGGCCGGCGAGCCCTGGGGTGTGGGGGTGGAGGGACTGGAAGAACAAAACAAAACAGCCACCACCCCAAAACACCTAGGCCACGGATTTTTCGCCTTAAGGTCAAGTGCATGCCAGTGAGCGGAGAAAATAGAATTGTGTGTGTGTGTCTTCACCTTTGACAACTGGAGGATGCGGACGGCGGAAAATAACTATTACGCTCCAGTGTGAGGCACTGTTTGTGGGGTGGGGCCCCCGTCGTGCTGGAGGTAGCGGACACAATCCACCAACCCTGCCCCTCCGGAGTCCCCAAAACCACGGGCATCTGGAAGCGTCTAGAAATTCCGGTGCCCGGAATCCGGTTTTGCCAAACTTCACAATCTCCTCACCTGAGGGCACCGGCCAAGATCTCCGTGGCAGGGCCACGCATCGCGCCTGGATGCTCTGGGCCAGAGCCATATGAGCAATCATGCATCCCAGTACCCAAGTCCCTACTACTCTGGGGACTTTGCAGGAGGTGGGCGCCTAACCCTATCCGTCAGCCCCAGGGCTTAAGTATCCTCTCCCAGAGGTAAGAATAAGGAGGTCCCCCGTGAGGTTCCATGTCAAGGTAGCAGTCTCCGTGGAGCCCCAGTGGGAGCGGTCTGGGATACGCGAGCGAGCCAAGGGGTCCAGCCGGGGAAGTTGGGGTTCAGCCTCCCGCCGGTCGGTGGCTCTGGAAGGAGCGCAGACAACCAGGCGGCAGGTAGGCAGCGGCTGCAGAGTGGACCTCTCTCTCTCAGCAGATGCCGCGGGGGATGGGGAACCTAGAGACGGGGAGACAAGGGGGGTGTACCCCGCCTCCCGGCACCCCAGCCCGTAGTACGGCTTTAAAATCCTGCAGAGTTTGTCATAGGCCGGCCTCACCACGCATGCGCATAGGAGAAGTTGAGTTTTTTTCTTTCGTCCCCCCCTTCCTTCTCTCTTTCCAGCCGCCCCTAGTTCTGAAACTTTGAAGAACTTTTTTTCTTTCTTTCTTTCTTTCCTTTTTTTTTTCTTCCTTCTGAGAACACCAGGGGAAAGAGGAGTCTGGAGAGAGGGAGGGAGAGAGTAAGGCAGTTGGCCAGAAGGGCCGGGGGGTGGGAGGGGGGGACGCGTCCCCGAGGTCGGTCAGTCTGTCTGCGGGGCACAGGATCGCGTGGAAATCTGCTGCGAGCTCCACGGAGCCGCCTTCGCCGCCTAGAGCCGGGGTCCGTGCGGCAGCTGCCCAGGGAGCCCTTCCGCCGCCGCCGTTGTGCCCGGGACCGCCCGCCTCCCGCCGGCCCGCTCTCCCGCCCCTCGGACCCGGGCGCCAAACGAGGAGGTGGGCAGCCTCGCCGGCCATGGACCGCCGGAGCTGAGTCGCCGCCGCGGAGCTCCGAGCTCTCGCTCCTCCCCAGCCTCGCGCCCGCGGTGCACTCGCTCCTCTTCGCCCTTCGCCCTGGAAAAACGGGGAAAAGAGAGATTAACCCGAAGAGAGAAAGAACGGGATACGGGTGGGGGGAGCCCGCGTCTCCCCTGGGTTAGTCGCCCATCGCACCACCCGCCCCAGCTCACCGCACAGCAATAAGTTTCGGGGCAACTTTCACCTATTTTGGCCCCGTTTTTGCCGAACCCTAAAGTGAAAGGACACAATTTGGCGCTGACTCTTGCAGCTCTGATGGCGACTTGTGCGTTTTCAGCGGCATCTCCCGGAGAAAAAGCCATGCGCGCCTGATTGTTCTGTGGCCCCAAAGCTGCAGCGGGGGTGTGTGTGTTGGGGTGTGTGTCTGTGTATGTACAGAGACGTCCACACTAACTCGCGGCTGCAGGATCAGCGTCTGGAAGCAGACGTTTCGGCTACAGACCCGGAGAGGAGGAACTGGAGATCAGGAGGCGTGAGCCGCCAAGAGTTTGCAGAATCCGTGGTGTGAATGAACTGGGGGCACCTGGGCGCACAGATCGCCCCCCCCTTCCCCCGCCCCGGGCCAAAGTTGAGTAGTGGGACATTTTTTTCACCCTCTTGTGAAGAATTTCTTTTTATTATTATTTGTTGTAAGGTCTTTTGCACAATCACGCCCACATTTGGGGTTGGAAAGCCCTAATTACCGCCGTCGCTGATGGACGTTGGAAACGGAGCGCCTCTCCGTGGAACAGTTGCCTGCGCGCCCTCGCCAGACCCGCGGCTCCCTAGTTGCGCCCCGACCAGGCCCTGCCCTTGCTGCCGGCTCGCGCGCGTCCGCGCGCCCTCCGTTCCTGGGCGCATCCCAGCTCTGCCCCAACTCGGGAGTCCAGGCCCGGGCGCCAGTGCCCGCTTAGCTCGGGTTCACTGCGCCCGCCCGACGCGCCCCGGAGGACTCCGCAGCCCTGCTCCTGACCGTCCCCCCAGGCTTAACCCGGTCGCTCCGCTCGGATTCCTCGGCTGCACTCGCTGGGGTGGCGACTTCCTCCCCGCGCCCCCTCCCCCTCGCCATGAAGGTAGGTGTTCAGTGCGCCGCCGACTCTCGCCACTTTTTTCTCTTTACTTCCCCCCACCCGCTGTTGGAAGTTAACTGAGTTCTCTTCGCCTCTTCCTATCCCTCCATTTCCCCAACCGCCTGGAGAAGCTGGAACTCCAGCGTCGCTGGCCGGAACCCCTACCCCTTCGTCCCCCACGCCGGGTGCACTGCCTCAGTGCCCCAGGAGATCACTTCTCGTCGCACCACCCGTTCTGCAAACCTTTTCGTCTTTGGAGAAAAACTGGGGAAGAGTGACAGTAGAAAAACTGAGTGCGGTTCACTGACCACTTTCCTTTTGCTCTGAGAACATCGAGTGTAATTTACTATGTATATTTCAGTAACAGGATAATGATTCAATTCAACAAATATTTACCAAGCGCCCACTGCGCGGGCACCGGGAGGGTGTGTGGCCGGGGCTCGGGATGGGGAAAGGGACTCCTTGGGTGAGAGAACCCGCAGAGGAACCAGGGGCCAACTACCCCAGAGCGGCGTACACCTTCCCCACACACCCCCGCACCGACGGAGGCCAGATTGTAGGCTTGCCTTGGCCGGGTAACTCGAGCGCTTCAGGCCCCTTTGCCTTTAAGAGTGCCTGGCGGGGGGCCAGCGCGCACCCCGGCGCGGGGAGAGGGGTCGCGTTATTAGCATTATTAGCCGCCACTGGGTGAGCTCAGGCACTTTGCAGCAGTGGTGGGGGCGGGGAGTTGTGGTGGTGTGGCTGTAATCCCGTACTCCGGGAGAGCGCTCCCCGGCCCCCTGAGCGGAGTCCGCCTTGTCCTTTAGAAAACACTTGGGCCTCCGCTTTGGGAGAGCAGGCGGGGGCCAGTTTGTGAACTCTTGTTTGTTTTAATTGTCAGTTGTATGTTAAAGCCGAGTCACACACTCAGAGGGTCACTGAGAGTTCACTTTTACGAAAAGTTAACGTTTCTTCCTGCAACATAAGTTGTTATTTTCTAAACAATTTTTCTTATCTGCCCTCCAAGCTTCGATTCCTATTTCCATTTTTCTGGTCTTTCCCATTTTCAGTTTCTTAGAAAATAAGGTTAGAATTGAAATTAAGATGTTTCCTAGAAGAAAACAACCCCTCTTCCCCCAAAAAAGTAAAAAAAAAAAAAAAAAATTCTGGAGACCCCACAGCCCTGTTTTACTTTCTAATCCCTGGCTGGTATCGAGGCCCCTTCTCTCTCGCCTGTCTTTTCTCTCTTCTTTCTTTAAATAGGCAATTCGCTGTTAGGAAGTAACTTGGGCCTGTCCGTGAGGTCGCACCTCCTCAGCCCCTGCCCTCCCCCCAGACAACATTTGCACATTCACTGCCGAACCAGTCAGATTTAGTTTCTAGACAGTCTGCCAGTGGAGTTTCGAGGGGGCAATGCGGAGAGTGCGCAGCAAACCGCAGGCCAACAAATGTGTGTGTGTGTGTGTGCGTGTGTGTGTGCGTGTGTGTGTGTGTGTGTGTGTGTGTGTGTAGGGGAGTAAAGGATCAGTTGTTCTCGGGTCCAGGACGTACTAGCCTTCGTCTCCTCCACCCCCTGACCCTCTCAGCGGAAGACCCTCCCCAGGAGGCCCGGCCCAAGAATCCCCTGTCTTCTCCTCCCCTCCCCAGTGCGCTCCGGTGCTCAAGGGGTTAGCACTATGCGCGCAGAACTCGGAGCCATCCCCGCGGTCTTTTCTTCCCCGCGGTGCGGTGCCGGCTGCCCCCTGTTGGCCACCTTGAGGTAGGACTCCTCCGAGCCTCGGTTCCTTGGGGCGGGCGGGCAGCTGCTCCCCTCTACTTCCCACCCCTGCTCCCTTCATCCCTCGCGATCACCAGACCCCACTCTCCCAGCAGGGGCCCTCGGAGGCCCCCAGAGGACCAGTTTTGCTGCGCCGCCAGTCGCTGCAATACGGAAGGGGCCACAGGTCCGGCCCCGCAAATGGGACTCGGCCAACTGGACACAGGGTTGGTACCTCTTCTTCTGGGCCTGGGAAGGAGAGTGTCGCCCTAGGAGGCCTCGGGTCTGGCCTCAGCTGCCTCCCAACTCTCTGTGGTCGAGAACAAGTGTTGCTTTCCCCCTTTTCACCCCACTTCCATCGTCTATTAAAAATTGGGAGCGAAACGACCTTTAAAGAGTAGGGGTTTGACTATCATTTCACTTTCTTTCTGTGTCCAAGGACTCTGCTCCACCTCTGGACAAAGTTAATCCTCTGCCGAGAGGGTTAGACATCCTGTGTGAGAAGGTGTGAGTGGTGTGTGTGTGTATCCTGGGGTTGGAAAGCCCAGTCTAAGGGATGGACGAGGGCGCAGGAAACAGGAGAACCAGGCCAGATTGTTCTTCCCCTGGTGACTCACTGTACCCGAACCTGGAATCTGCCTTCAGTGCCGAGGTCTGGGTGGCTCTCTTTTGTCACACTGATTGTGGCTCAAGGTGTAACCTCCGCCTTCTCTATCTGGCAATTCCCTCCTCCCCCACCCCGCTCCGCGCGCGCGCCAACACACATATTGCTGTGGACACAACCCTTGCGCTCAGGCATGGGGCGAGGCATGGGCAGTAGTGGCTCCTTTGTCTGCTCCCCTAAAGCGGACCTCCTACCCGCCTGGGCCGGCCCATTCTTCAGCTCCTCGCGCCGCTCCCCGCATTCTCCAGGGCAGGACATCCCAAGTTTTTGGCTGCAACTGAGTGCTTTCCTGCTAGTTTCTCCATCTCTCTCCTTGCTTTAGGGAGAGATCGGAGTGGGCAAAGCAGCTTTCTTTTTCCACCAAGAGTGGAGATTCTTTTTGGAGTTTCCTATCCTCCCCGTCGATGCCTTGAGCCTGTGTCAAACGGGCTTATTCCGCCTAGTTGGCGTTCCTCATCGTTTGCACTCCCAGAAACTTGGGCCCTAAACGTAGAGAGTCCAGCAGAAGGGGATGCCTAGATTGAGTGTGGCAGCGCCCCGGGGCCGAAGGGAGAGGATCTTTGCCTGGCCTTTTAATCTTTTCCCTTAAGGGGCTGCATGCGGAGGACTTGGGTGTTGCGAGACTTTAGGTGTGCATTCGGCTGCTCCCCGCGCCCTTTGAGCGTCCTCTGAACAATTTTGCTACTGAGGTTTCCTCTCCCTCATCCCTCATCAGCCCTGGCCCGCACCGCGGTTGGTAAAGAAGGATCAGGAACACCTTTAATCCGACGCGAAGGCTTTCAGGGATAAATAGAAAGGGAGCCACGTCGTTGAACTGCTCTGGATTGAAGACGAGGGCGCGGGAACGCCTTCCTCCACCTCACTCCTCTGGTGCGCTGAGCCCCTCAAACGCCCCCAGTCCTCCTCCCCGTGGCACGCGAGGAAGATTCTCATTGTCCTTACGGTCATCTTCCCTGGGCCCCGAAAGTGTTGGAAAACATTTAGCCCCTTCTTTGGGAAACTCAGCTTCTGATCAGAATTTTTGTTTTACCCCTGGGGTTGACAGTCTCCCCAGAGGTCTCATTTCATACTGTCTTTTCGGATCAGATCTCTTGGTAAACAGGCGGGGATGTTTTACCCTACAGAGCCGATGTATGTGTGAGTTCGCTGTGAGTTCCTTGAGTATCTCAAACTTGTGGGGCCTTTTCTGGGTTGCACCGGGATTGAAGCGGGAAGAGGGCCAAGGTGTTTCCGGGCAAGCAGCGGGGTTAAGTGGAGACGCGACTCGTGAGGCTCTCCTTTCCGATCCCCCTTTGGGACACCCTCTGCCTACCTCTACCCTGGAGCCAGGGAGACCCAAGTCGTGGAGACCGGATGGGCCCGCTCACAGTTGGCCTGGGCTCTGGGAACTGGTGGACTCTCCCTGGGGGCGTCGGGCTGGGAGTGGGTTCGGTTTGTGTGGCTTCGGCTATAACAAAGAGATCCGCTGTAATCCGCCGAATCTGTTATCAATTTCTCCGCTGCTTGAGCCCCGCCCCACGCGCCCCGCCCGCCGCGAAGCTCAGAAAGTGCAAGCGGCCAGCAGCAGTCTGGGCCGCTGACTTGGAAACATGTCGCAGCGTGTGTGTCTGTGCACGCGTGTGAGTGTGTAAATGTGCCCGAGTGTGAGTTTGTATGAATGTGTGCGCGCGCGGCATCGGCTGCCCTTGGGGAGAGTTGACTTTGCAGCCTGGGCTGTGCGTGAATCAGACTTTGCAGCCCACCCCCTCCCCTGGAGGAAACTTGACACTTAGGGCGGGGGTGGGGAAATAGCCAGAGCTTTCTCTCTCCTAGCTGGGGAAATCCCAGATTTCCATTCTCCGGGATGCGCCCCCCCACCCCAGCTTTGCAGCATTTTGGGGACAACTGGGCCTTGGGTGCGGAGCTCTGCTTAGCAGGCGCTGGGGACCACATAAGCATTTCCTCTCTGAGAAGCCCCGAAGCGCCCGGGCCAATGGGGCGGCTCATGGAGAAAAGCCTTGGCACGCTCCTGAGCCCCATAGCTTTACCAGGGCTGCCTAGTCCCGTCTGTCCCTTTTACGGCACAGGTTCCAAGCCAGGCTCTTCCACCGCCTTAAAGAGGCTCATTTTTCTTTTCTTTTCCGTGGAAGGGGCTCCTTAAGGGGCTATGGGCGATGCAGCGCGGCAGGGTTACACTTATCAGAGATGTGAAAGGAGATTTTTAAAACCCGCTCCTCCCACCGGCACCGGCCACCGACTTGCTCCGCCGCCGCCTACAGGTGGAGAAGTCACCAGTGGGGAGGAACGGCAGCGGAAGCTTCCAAGGCCAACTCCTACCCCTGAAATTCTTCAGGAAGGGAACCTTCGCCGCTGGGGGCTTCTTTGCCCTGGAATCGAAGCGTCCAGCTGCGGC